AATTCAATTTCAGGATTTCAATTTTTTCTTCTTCGATCATAGAAGTTTGTTTAGAAAAAAAAAAAAAAAAGAGAGAGAAAAATAGGAAAGAAGAAATGAATGGAACACAAATTGCAGAGTAACGAGGTTGGTTTCGTAAATAACAAGGATGGTTTGGTAAAACTGAATGCTTTTGCACAACCACGCTCCCATTTCTGCTATCGGACAAAGAAATTCTGTTTCGTAATATTTTTTGTCCGTCCACTGTGCGGAGCAGATCATCTCGATAAAAAGTGTGGCCATTCAATGGAAATTGAACTTGAGCCACGCTTTTTCGAACCACCATTAGATTTCACACCTTCCTCCTCCTCTTGTCTTTCAAACTTTTTCACATCGATATCTCTACGTTGCATACGTTTCATATAAAATTAATCCTCTCCTTTCAATACGTTACATTTTATTTCCAAGCTACTATAATATATACGGTACAATAATAGCTAATAAATATTTATTTCACTCTCCTCCTTTACCACGATCAATATTCGTTTGCGAACCATGCTTAGAATAATCCTTTGACGATTCCTTTCAAAAGTTAAACTTCCACCTAGCAATACACTCTAACGTTGTTGGACACGTTTTTCCAAACTTTTATATCAAAGAAGAAAAAGGAAATACACTTAAACGAGAATCTCAAATTTTTCTCCCTCTTTCTCTCGACAGAAAATTATTTCCAATTTGTAAATTTCGATTAAATTTGATATTTTTCCACTTACACGCGAGAATATTTCGACGAGAATCCTCCTCCTTCTATTTCCACTTAATGATTAATGATCGATACAAAATACTTGCTAATAAACCGATTAACCCTTAACAACAATATTCTCAATATATCCATCGTCTCAAATGAACAATCCCCCGTCGAAATACATATAATCATGGAATCCAATTGGAAGTGTTGCCAATCCCGTGGAACGATCGTGTTCCACGTGCACGTCACGCGATCGTCGTTACAAAACACGTGCACGTACAAGATAATCAAGGATGGAAGATTAATCCATCGCGCGATATCCCCGATATGCACGGTGATCCGGGATCGAATTCGCCACTTTTAAATACACGCGGTGGTTGATTGGCTCGCGCCAACAAACAAACACGGTGGAAAGGGAGGAGGGGAGGGGGGACGCATCCCTATCTAGACACGAAGCGGTGAACGCAATTACGCGAAAATAACCGCAGCGGTGGTTACATCTTGTGCGTTTACTAGGACAGTATTGATCTTCTGCGTGCCTCCCCCCACCCCCGCATGCTCCTCTGCGTACAATCGCTCGACGTTATTACCTCTCCGTAGAAATGTAGGGGAACTTGGTGTCTGTACATATTTTTTTTTATTTATTCGTTTGTAAAAGGAAAGGGTTGGAGAATTTTTGTAAAAGGTTCTATTGTGTATTTTATATTGGTTAGAGTATTGCATGATTAATTAGTCTTGGTGGAAATTGGGATAAGAATGTGAAACTTGTATAAATTTTGCTGAGCATTTTTGTTTCTCAAAATAATAACTTTTCAGTGGTGTACATATCGCGTGCGAGATTATTCAAATGGAAATTATTAAATATAATCTCAAATTTTTTCTTTCTCTCGAAAATTATTTCCAATTACGTCAACATTTTTAAATTTCGATTTTGATTAAATTTGATCGAGATATACACTTACATAGAATGCAAAGTAGTTATTAAAGAAAGAGAGATTCAGGATATAATTTTATTATTTTCTAATACTTCTTTTAATACTCCTTTAGAGAATACATTTTTAATTATTTTCTTAAAAAAAAGAAAATTAACCGTTCTCAAAGTTTCTGGCAACAATGTTGAAAGGAAAAAATTCAAATTAAAATATCTTGTTCCGAATCCTTGAATGTTTATTCTCCGTATCTTCCACTTTGCACCCCTCTCCTCTCGCGTGATGGAATCCATTTTTCCTTCTTTTTTTTTAATACTCGCGTCCTTTCAAACTCCCCCCTCCCCTGTAAAGGAAAAATTTCGAGAGATAACTGGCCCGATTCTATTCTCGGCCATTGTTCGAATACTTTTCGTTGTGCATCGACATCGTTTTTCGCGACGAAAAAAATTTAATCCCTCTTGTACGTATAAGGGCGTCTATCCTCGATTTAGGCGATTATTTTTTTAACCACGTTTCCCCCATCGTTTGTTCGCGTTTCAACGCGAGTAATTGGTAACGAAGGGAAGAATAGGATTTCAGGAGAGATTCTATTCCTGCTCTCGAGTCCTTTGCAAAGTCCCTTCTTTTTTCCACGATTACGTGTCCTCTTTTGGATTCATATTTCGTTTAGTGCATTAGTATTATGTGGTTATGGATTTGCATTTCAATTGTAATTTTTAACTATTGTCATAGATAATAGATTTTTATTTGTATCACTTTTGCTTCCCTTCTTACTTTTAATCCTGATCCTTCCTACTTAAAACTTTGGTGACAGATGAATGAGGCAAGTGAACTTACTTTAAGTAGAACTAGTGAGGAGAGATTAGAGGATTTCGTGTATGTATTTAGTACGTTTGTATTATTTTATTGCATATTTATTAATAAGATGAGAATGAAAAATTATGATTATAATGCATGTTTAAAAATAGTTATATATTCGAAAGCTTTTCATAAAATTCTTTTTTAAGAAATTAAGTTTAGGTGCACAATTTGTATATTTTATCTTTCTTTGTTTTACTATCTTTTGAACTAATTTCGTATATATTATGCGGATATGTTCAAGTTCATCCCAATCTCATCTCCACCAAATGTGATTTTAACTTCAGTCACATGCAATTAATGATCTCATCAAAATCTCATTTTAACATAAATGATGAATCATGAGTAATATAACTATCTCCATTATTTTGTTTATTAACAGACCTATCAAAATTATTATTATCTTATTGTTAATTGATGTAATTTCAAAGGTTTTGCAAAATGATTTTTGTTCTTATTTTTAGTGAATTTTTGCTTCAACAAATGTATGTATCAAATGTGTTCAAAAGCAAATTTGTTTTAATAAGAAAAAAATTAAACAATACAATATATTAAAATACTTTTTATAATAATCATTCTCTATCATCAGTAAGTAACTATACTTTTAAAAGGATATTTGAATATGATATAATATGATAAAACAGAGATTAATTTGGAAACTCTTAATTACTTAATTCAGAAACAAACAATCCATCAAACTGTTCTAACAGTTTGACATTCTTTTGAAAGGCTTAATTAAAACTTATGCAAGTTAAATACAATTAAAAGTAGATACAAGTGATGGAATCTATAATTTTAAGACATTTTGGGTAGAGTTAATCTTCAATGGAAACAAATTCTATGCTTCTAAGCATTAAAACTTTATGATATCATTTAAGATTTTGATAGTATTTCATGAATGCATATTTTTTCCTATACTTATCCTATTTACTTACATAAATGAAAATTACACATTCACTAAAATAATTTGAAAGGCAACGTTAGATGACTTTCTCTGTGTACACAGAACAAACTTTTATAATCCAATAAGAGAAGAATTAAATAATATACTAAGATAATAAAGTAATTAAATATATAATCCAATTTTTTCAATTTTCCTTTTTTTCAGATCATTCATTTCAAAAGAATATTAAACTAACACGACAGCATAAAAAGGAATTAAAAATTAAATTTTTATCCTTCGTTGAAAGTTAAATTATTTCAAGGGAAAAAAATTATTTCCCGTGGCAATTTTCATAGATTTTATTTTATCGATAACAAGAATTTCTCTCGTAGGGTACGAGTTAAATTACCGAGCTAATCAATTTTTCTCGCGTGGACCTTAACGCGCGTAATTTGCCCAATTTTGGCAAGCACTACTACGGCAAAAGGAATAATTGATACAGATAACAGGAAGCCTCGTGTGTCCCAGAATATTTTATGAATTGAGAGAGAGAGATACTCGATATTTCCATGCTTTTCAATCTTATTTCATTAAACACTCTCAATACGAATATCCATTCATTAATTTCTCTAAACCGCTTTTCGCTTTTCATCTATCTCGTTATATAATTGATATCAACAATAATTAGTATCTACGCAAGCAGACGTATAATACAGAAATCGAAACCTTTCCCTAAATATCCTGCATTTACCTCGAGTTATTCTACTCAAATCCAATTTAGAATTTATTTCGCTTACGCAATTCTTCTTCTTCGAAATATACATAGAGAAGCTCGAGGAAGAGTTATATTTACGTATAAATTTCACTATTTCCCACGATTCTCCTCTCTCTTTTCTTCTTTAAACGGAATAATCCTGTTATTCCTTAAAATATTTCTATTCTGTATTATTCGTTGAAATATTTATAATTTTTATTTTCTCATCAATTTTTTTTCCAAAAATCTTCGTCGATCACCTGCTGCGATTACCTCTCCTCGTAAACAATGGATGGAGGCGATATCGGGTCAGAAGGAGGAATCGAGTGGAGAATCGAGGGGAGAAAGTTTTAATCGCTTTATAAGTCGGGAGGAAAAACTTGGATAAATATAATAACCGAGACACCGCTTCGATGGGGAAACTTGTTAAACTACTGCACGTCCAACCGAGTTAGGCGTCACTGTGCGTGCAATTATTAATAATAATTATCTAACGGGTGAAAACTTGGCGGGATTGGGCGCGTCTCCCAAGGAATTTTTTAAATTATGTTCCATTTTGAAAAAAATATTTTGAAAAAAAAGTGAGTTGTCCCACGCGAAAAGTAATTGAATTTCAACTTTATGAAAACGAATGTTTGTTTCGTTTGATTTTATGATAAGTGGTTGGTGCTTCAAGTTCATGAAAATCAATGAGTAATGGGTAATTATTATATAATCGTTGCGCAATTTCAATTGATCATGATTTAATTTCGTGATTGATGACGATTCGTGTATTTTTTTTATATTTTACGAAAGTAATCATTTATTTATAATATTCTTCGTGAATAAGCACGATTTTTAAATATATTTCTCTGGAAAAATTGGCAAAGCTTCTTTTTCATGTAAATTCTTCGATTCTGTTTTTTGACAGTAAAAAAGTAGAGACTCTAGAATACTCTCTTTTGTTTATTTATCTTAAAACATGAGTGATTTCTGGCCATATTTCTTCTTTCTTTTTGTGGAAGAAATTCGTCACAAAATTGATATCAATTTGAAGGCACGAAATTTTGGAAACGTGTTGCTATTTGTAAAAAAGAACAGAACTTCTTTTTCATGGATATGATATGAAAATACGCCAGTTTTTAAGAAAAATGAGAATCACAATCACAAGATATAACTTTGATTATTTTATTAAATTATTTCATTTAATATTAGAGCAGATTAAAATTAAAATAAAATATTAAAGAATATAAAATTACCCAAAGAAAACTATAACACGAGTTTCTCAAAATGTTCTTGTTTATTGTATCACTCAATCCACTGAATGATATCTCTTCACAACGACGCATAGAGATGTCGACAATATCTAAAAAATTATTCACGCGTTAAAACAAGGGAAACAGACATGGAATATTTCCAATATTACCTATATAAATATATATATATATATTTCTTTCTAGAATCATTTCCAACTGACTTTCTATTCTATTTCTCGTCCTATGAATTGTTAATACGAAATACATCTGCCTTACAAAGATGCAGGAAGAAGGGATGATGCTTCTTCTTTTTCTCAATGCATAGCAGAAGAAAAATTTTCTTCCTCCGGTATATTTGTCTCATTCGAAGAATTCATATTCTTTTTTTTCACATGCAATCTTTATTCGACCTCTCAACGTCTTCAACGTCTTCTTCCTCCTCGAAGAAGAGCGTCGAATTCCTTTTTCTACGAATTAATCTAATTAATTATTTCAATTATTTAGAGAAAGTAGAATTTTACATTAAAGGGGGATGGAAATTTTGCATTAAACCAGCCCCCTCCCCTCGGCTTCGACAGATCTGCTCGATTAATTATTAAAAATTATGCAAACCAGTGCTTACAAAGCTTTCACAACTGCAGCGAGGATTAAAATTTCATTTCTCGAGCATCTCCCTTCTTGTTTCCTCCATCTCCCCCCCTGATATCAGCAGCAAACTTCGCGTTGCACAAGCAACGAAATTGTCGCGTGATTCTACACGAGGGATCGCGAAATCGTGAAAAGTTTCACGCTCTTAATCATCCTCCCTCCTTGTAAAATATTCCTTTTGTTCGATATTTTATTAACAAGTGGCCTGCACGTTTTAACGATGATTTCATTGTTCATGGTAGAATAATACAAATAAAAGAATCTTCCTCTCTTTGAATACCAACTGAAGATGACCATTCCTCGAGATTATTATTATTATTATTATGGGAATAATTTCTCCTTTTTTCTTGAATTTTCTTCATTCCTTTCTTTATTCGCCTCACAATTTTTAATTTTTAATTTTTACTCGAAATACGAGTATTATTGGATTCCAATTTTAATCCCAGATATTATTATTCTCTTTAATCAAATTCGATACTTTGCGAATTTATTATTGTTGAATCGATTAACAAATCAGCCAGTTTCAACCAGATGCTTCGAAGACACATATATTTCAATTTAAAATAAATTTCATATTGGAGCAGATTAAAATTCAGATAAAATATTAAAGAATATAAAATTACCTAAAGAAAATAATGTAACAATTTGAGTCTAGTTCTTTGTGCGCGATAAATAAAGCATTACAGAAATTGGTTATCACCGATTATTAAATAGATAATATTATTATTAATTAATACGATGAGAGCAATAGTTTGTAGATATACGTGTCTTCTATCTGGTTGAAACTGGATTTTTTGAATTTGATTAAAGAGAATAATAATAATTGGGATTAAAAGACTTCCCCTCGCGAAGAATCGAAATTGTAGAATGGGCAGAAACAAAAAAAAAAGAGAGAAGAAGTTTGGAAACTGTGTCGAAACGAAACCGACTGAATTACAGAGAATTGCGAAACTGTGAGTCATCGAGTGGCCGCAGTTTGCCAAACGATGAAACGAGGATCAAAATTACAAGTTGAAAATCATGGTGATATTAATTTCTCTTCGAATCAATTAAATTTAAGAACGTCGATTGTTCGAATTAATTGAAAGAATTATCATGAAATAATGAGACAAACAATTTTCAAATATATTATATATATCTCATAAGAGAAATGCATCAAATGAATTAATCGTTTTTAGCATCTAAATAATATTCAAAGATTTATAAAAGTTTATTCTAAATTCAAATTAGACAAATTCGAATTAAAGTTTCGAACGCGTTCTTACAAATGCTTTCAAAGATTCGAGTTTTTTACCGTATAATTTTTATATACAGTGTGACAAAAAAAATACGTTTCTCACAAGAGATGTCCTCAATTCTCTCTCAATTCTCTCTCAAAAGTAACTAAAATTGCAATTTTCCCCCCAAAGATAAACGAACAACTAACCAATAAAATCCCAAGACAAAATTTCCCCGCCAAAAAAGTGGCGTACACATGTATCCGAGTGAATTGCATTCGATTACAAACGTTGGAGAATTCACAAATAGCTTCGGGACGAGGGTAATAGAATTTGCAATTTATCAAGACAGGATGCGACTCCTAAATTGAATCGTGCAAGTCGAAGCCGCAGGGGTGGCAAGTTTGCCCCGTAAAATTGAAGTTTCCTGTTGGTGGTGGGTGTAAGAGAGGGAGGAGAGGGAGGAGGAGGAGGAGGAAGGGAGGGGAGGGCGAGAGATTAATTACAAAATCGAAGTAGCCCTGTAGCGAAACGTGACAGGGTGTGTATGGCTCGTCTCTGTGACGTTGATGTCAAAACTAGGGGAATTCCTACGGAGTTCTCGATAGAAACCGCAAATTCGATGTCGCGGCGACACCTCGAAATTCGTGGATCGAGCCGGAGAATCGAGTATGCGTGGCATTTCTCTGAATGGAAAAAGAATTAACGAGAGAGAGAAGAAGAAGAAGAAGATGAAGAAGAAGAAGAGGAAGA